CCTGCAGGCCCTCGTATTTCAGCTTTCAGGCTGAAACGACCGGGGCCTGTAAGCCCTAAGTTTTAGGCTTTTAGGCTGAAAGTGCGGGACGGGCCATGCAGGGCCCGTGTGCCTATGCAGTATGCCACACCCCCCCCTCCTTGAAAGACCGAGCTTACCTGCGAGGGCGAAGCTGTGTGTCTGAGGGAGGGACCACAGTCCGGGTGGGAGGGGCAGGTCATGGAGGTCCCTTGGCTAACCTTTGGCGCTCGTAGTGAGCGTAGATCAGCGGTGCGGATGCTTTCAAATCACCTCCTCAAATCCACTGAGTGTCGTCGGGATCGCATGCTTTGAATGTAACTTTGTACTATCGCGGCTTGCTGCCCTACTTGCGATTCGAGATGATGCGGTCAACCTCCTGATGACCATCCATAGATGGAGGGTCCTGCGATCGTCGGCCCGGGAAGTCGTCCCTCTTAGCTGGTGTATATGTTGCCAGCTTCGATGCGTGAAAGACTGGATGGACTGTCAGATGCTCGGGAATGTTGATCACAAATGAAGGGCCATCAGGCTCATCGCCCGCGGCTGATGTCACAGACCATGGTCCAAACCACTTGGGAAGCAGTTTGCGTGAAACATCTTGTTCCAGTGCAAACTCTTCCACGGAGACCCAAACCAGATCACCGTCGCGGATAGGACATGGTGCGTGACGCCTGTTGGCTTGCTGCTGCATGCGGACTTGAGCCTTTTGCATGTTCGCGCGGGCCTGAGTCAGCAATTCCCTATACTTTCGGACGGAAGCGGGAGAGCAAGCAGCGTCAATGTCGGCTGGTCGAGGGAGAAGAAGGACGATACGGCCTTTTCGTCCACCGGGGTGTAACTCGAATGGAGTCACGCCGATCGCCGGGTGCACCGAAGTGTTGTGGGCGAACTCGTCGGGGAGGCGGTCAACCCAATCTTTCGGTCCGGACGGATGAGCGTACGAAGCATCATTTGAGCGGTTTGATGTGCCCGCTCCGTCTGCCCGTCTGTCTGTGGATGCCGAGCCCAACTTGGCTTCATCTTCGTGYCGGACTCCTGCATGAGTGCAGTCCAAAATGCCGACATGAAGCGAGTGTCGCGGTCGCTGACTATGTCTTCTGGTACACCATRGCCGCAAATCCAGCCGGTRTGCAGGAGGCGTGCCAGCTAGGGAGCCGTGGAGTATTACTTGCAAGGAAGAAAACGCGCGTACTTACTCAATCGGTCCACAATCGTGAGGATGCCGTCGTGTCSGAGCYKGTCGCGAGGGAACGGACCGGTGACGTCCATGGCAATGGAGAGACCGGGTTCCCGTGGGATGGGCATCGGGCGYAACTCGCCATAGGGATTGCGGTTGCGGGGTTTGCTGCGTCGGCWAACTTCGCAATAGTCGCAATACCGAGTGACATCGGTAATGAGGTCAGGCCATCGGAATTGTTGTYGAAGCCGTGCAATGGTGCGGTTGACTCCGAAATGGCCGGCGAGTCGTGAATCATGGTACTCCCCGAGAAGGCGAGTCCGAAGACGACGGTCTCGTGGGACACACAATAAGTCCTTGCCTCTCGAGTGGAGGAGCAAGTACCCGTCGGCAATGCGATAGTGGCTGGCCGGCGGGTGATCTTAAGATAGTTGTGCATATAGCGTGGCAAAGTCCGGATCAGACTCGTATGCCCGGATGAAGTGTCGCTGAAGCTCCTCGTCGAATGCGAAGGCATGATGTGTCATAGGGCAAAGATCAGGTCTTCGCGAGAGTGCATCTGCTGCGCGATTTGAGAGGCCGGGAAAATGTTTCGGTGTGAAGTCAAACTGGTTGATGAAGTACATCCATCGTCCAATCGTGCTGCTCACCGTATCCTGCGTCTTGTAGTAGGTCAATGGATTGTTGTCCRTAACCCATGTGAACCTACGACGCCCAAGGAGGAAGTGTCGCCAGCGCTTGAGAGCCATCACGAATGCGAGCAGCTCCTTCTTCCTTGCATCATCAAGCGAGTTGATGGGAGACACTTTGTGGCTGAAATACTCCACAGGGTGCCAGTCGTCGCCGTTGTGCTGTTCCAAGACTGCCCCAATGCCATAGCCGGAAGCGTCCATAGTCACTCTCGTCGGCAGGGTGGGGTCATGGATGCTAAGGACGGGTGCCATGAGCATAGCCGTCTTAAGTGCTTGGAATGACCGGCGTGCGTCGTCATGGAATACGAATGGCACGTTTCGCGATTGCAATCTCGTCATAGGTGCAACAATCCTCGAGTATCCGGTGATGAATCGCTGATAGTAGCCCGCCAATCCCATGAATGAACGAACGTTCGTGGTGTTGGTGGGCTCAGGCCATACTCGTAGGGCCTCGACCTTGTCTGCAAGCGGACGGATGCCTTGCGGCGTCACATAGTGTCCCAAGTACTCCAGCTCCTGCCGCACGAATTCGCACTTGTCGCGGTTGGCTTTGTACTTGGCCTGCCGTAGCCGCTCCAAGACGGTGCACAGGTGTTCCACATGCTCCTCCAAACTACGACTGTACACCAGGATGTCGTCGAGGTAGATAAGTACGTATCGATCCAGCATGTGTCGGAACTCGGTTGTCATAGCCGCTTGGAAAGTGGTAGGGGCATTCGTAAGCCCAAATGGCATAACCAGCCATTCGAAATGCCCATATCGCGTCTTAAACACGGTCTTGTAACGGTCCTCCTTTCGAATCTCGAGTTGGTGATATCCCGACTTGAGATCGAGCTTGGAGAAGAACTTGGCGCCGCCCAGTCGCTCGAGAAGATCGTCGATGTGTGGGAGAGGGCCGGCGTTTCTGATCGTCAGCGCGTTGAGCTTGCGATAATCGATGCACAACCGCAAATCCTTGTTCTTCTTTCAGACGAAGAGAACAGGAGCACCGTATGGCGATGAGCTAGGCCGAATCCAGCCTTTCTCCAGAAGGTCGTCGAGTTGTGCCCGAAGCACACTTAACTCTTCCTCGCTCATTCAGTAGATGCAACCGCGCGGAGGTACGGCCCCGTCCTCGAGGATGATCTCGTCGCGGATGGGCCGATCCGGTTCTACTCCGTGCGGGCCTCCGAACACGTCGCTGTAGGCGTCGAGAAGTTCGGTGATGCGTGGATCCGAAGATGAGTCCGTCGATGAAGTGTCATGGGGCGGGAGGGCGTGGAGAAAACACACCTCCATCTCCTCGATGTCGTCTCTGATGATGGAAGCTCGCGTGCTTGCAGCGGATACCACGTGTCAGATGATCGAAGGATGAGGAAGAGGCATCATGCATGGGACTAGTATTCCCATTCCGATCAGGAATGTGAACGGTGTAGTTATAGAAGTTCACCGGGTGATCCTCGCTTCGCAGCCATGACATGCCCAAGATCATGTCAAATTTGGTGTTTAGAATGTCAAAGGATACCGCCTCACTTGCGTGAGGGGCAAAGTACACTGGGACGGACGTCATCAATGCACCAGTCGATTGACTTGTGCGTGTGACCGTGCGCCAATGTGACTTGCGTGGGCTGGGGCTTCCTTCGGACGCGTGGGCCAAGGCCGGCGCGCACCATGAAGTCCTGGCTGATGTAGTTGCGAGATGCTCCGCAATCGATCAAAGCGCTGCAGGTCGCCTCTCCGATCTGAATGCGTACATATAGCAATGGTGCGTCGATGTCGTCGTACCGTTGCGTCTTGAACTCACGGTCGATCTTCTCAATGTAGGCGTGAAGGTCGACAACCTCTACTCCGGCGTCCATCAACGGACTCGGTATTGCAGTGTGCAAGTAATCCCGCAGTTGTGCCATGAGCACGTTGCAATGTGGTTTCGGCAATCGTCCGGTCGAGGGAACGGGCATCCATTGGAAGTCCGCGAACGTCAATGGGTCGAGCTCTTCAATTCTTGACCATGACGTAGAATCCCCGACGATAGATGGCGGCGAAGCTGCCGAATCGGTTGCCGATGGTGATGAAACCGTGCATGCGGTTGATTGTTGCACGTGGAGCGGTTGGTCCAGCAGTGGAACCAAGTGGACAGCATAATCCTCGTAAGTGTACCGAGGACTTTCGACATGCGCATCCTCCCCAGATGTGTAGGAGGCCGCTAGCAAGGCGGCCGAATCTGGCGGAGTGAGAGGTGGAGTCGCCTCACCTCCTGCGCAACTCAGTTTCCCGAGTTAAGACGGGGCCGCACATCCTCCTTGGCCTGATCCTGGCAAAGGGAGGTCTTGTGCTTGGTGTTGTTGCACCAGTAGCAGCAGCCGTAACGGCCGCGGTACTTGTACTCGGCCTCGGTCAAGCCGAACTTGACCCATGGTGGTGCTGGCTGTCCATTTCCGGCCAGCGATGCTGATTTCGCCTTCCCGTTCACTCGGGGTTTGTTGTTGCTTCGTGGCTGGACAACAGCCACCTGATCTCCCTCACGTGACGCTTGGGTGGCTGCCGGGTCTTCCACAGTGTTGTCCGATTGGACTGCAGCGAACTGCTGCTGTCGCGGACCAGTTCTCACCTTCTCCACATAGGTTGGCTGCCATGTTGACTTCTCGCGTGCAGCCGACCTGTTGGTCTTGATGATCTCCCTTGCCTTATCAATGATCTCAGCGAAGGTGGTGTATTGCTCGCGATCACCAAGTGTCTGGCTCAGTGCAGCACATGACCCGTTGTAGAACTCACGGCGTAGATGCGTGAATGGTAAGTCCTGATCAGGCACTGCCGCGATCTTCTGCCATTCCGTGAGCCAGTCACGTGTTGCTGTGTTGCCCTGAGACATGGTGAAGAGACGGTTGATGGCTAGTGCTGGAGCGTTGTCGACGATGAACCGCTTCTTCCACAGCCGTGTTAACTCTTCCCATGTGATCTTGTCCTTCAGATCTGCGACGTCGACGCCATGGGTGGCTGCCAGGTGGGTTAACCAGATTTGGCATCCGCCCTTTGAGTTCATGAACAGGGCGCCGATGTACGTGTGCTTGGTGACAGGCAGAATCCGAAGTTGCGTCGTGAATGTTTCCCACCAGAGCACCGGGTCCTGATGCGTGTAGTCGTCGAACTTCTCCAGTTGAAAGGTTGGCATCTTGTATTGCTTTGGATTGTTGCCATCCGAATTCGTCGACTGCAGTTGCTGGAACTCAGCTGATTGCTGATGGTGGTCGGCGCAGCGAAGGTGCTGATGTCGCCGAGCATTGCGAGGACGTGGTCTACGCGTTGCTCCAGTTGGTGGTTAGAGGGTGCACTTCTGGACTCACCAGCATCTGGTACTGGTACAGCTTGCTCCAGGTCCAGTACACGGGAATTGAGTGCCCGTGTAGCATCCTCGTGGCTCTGCACCATCCGGCGGAGGTTCGCCAACTCCTGGTGCTGCGTCTTCAGATCCTGGTACTGTTGCTGCAGTTCCTGGTTCTGTTTCTCTAGCTCGGACCGTTGGTAGTTGCAAGCATACAACAACCGTGTCACGAGTTTGGAGAGTCTGGGCATCTGCGCCTGCTTCGTCCTGTAGCCGTAGCTTCTCTGCTGTTGCCATTGCTTCAGCCTGTACGCGGGCACCCTCGGCTGCCAGTTGGCGTTGTTCCTCAACCTCGATGAAAGCGAGCTGAGCCTGGAAGCGCAGTTTATAGTCCGCAATGGACTCATTGGCCAGTTGGCCTGGCATGCCCAGATCTCGACCCGTCATGCTGACGTGGCACTGCTGACGTGTCACTGCTGACGTGTCACTGTGACTGACGTGGCACTGCTAACGTGGCACTGTCTGACGTGTCACTGTGTCTGACGTGGCACTGTGTCTGACTTGTAACTGTGTCTGACGTGGCACTGTTGCTGATGTGTCATTGCTGACGTGGCACTGTAGCTGACGTGTCACTATACCGACTGGGAATGCAAGCTCAGGGTGGGTGGGGAGGGAAAACGTAGGTAGGAAACCAACCCAACAATACTTTCCTCCCAGCCCTAATCAACAGATAAAATAAAATAAAAAATAAAAGAGGACTACTTCCTTTTTTTTTTTTTTTTGTATATATGTCGATCTGTTATGAGTGAGACATGTCAGAAGAGTACTATGAGCGAGCTCCAGGCTAGGTTCCGCAAAGTTTCGGCTTTCACAGAATGCGATATGGAAAAAAAAAAATTGCGAGGTCGAATAGAGATGCGATTTTCAGAAAAGACTTAAATCCCGTTTCTGAGAATATGGCAACCTCCGACTATGCCTATCGAAATGTTGGTAGGCTTTGCAAGATTTCGGTTTTCAAAGAAAAAAATTGCGAGATAGAATGGAAATTCGATTTTCAGAAAAGAATAATTCCAGTTTTCGAGAATATGACCACTTCTATCGTTATCCCAATGTGCCCAGAGAACGAAAAACTAACATCAGAAAATTTCAGCTATGTGTGCGAAATATCAGAGAAACGAAATGCTACTATCGGGAATTTCAGACAAAAACGAAATGCGATTTATCAGAAATTTTCAGATATTTGTTACGTAAAAACGAAATACTAATATCAGCAATTTTCAGGTAAAACGAAATGCGAATATCATAAATTTCAGATAGTTGTTGCGAGAATTTTTTTTTCCTGAGATTTGACGAAGTCCTACTTGATTTACTAACGAGTAATCAATAGATCAAGCAAGCTGGCTATTTGATTGAGCGGGTCCTCTGAATAAGAGGTCCGCTCCGATACCAAACTGTTGCATATTGAAACGGTGCAGACCAGAACAAGAACCGACCTCTCATCCGAACAATCAATATTACAATGCAGCCCTGAACGGTGTGAATGGGGCGCTTCACACAGGAAGACTGCGCCAGCCCCTACCATACACAAACGAAGAAGAAGGGGGTTGGACGAAGAGGAGGGGAAGATGGGAATGTCGTCAACACCAAGTCTTCGGCACAGCCCAAATAGGCCCTCGTCGAAATTTTTGAATCCCAAATGTCAAGTCTGGATCCAATGTCGTCAAGTCTCAAGTCACAACTCTTTCTCTCTTTGTCGTAGTCTGAGAAGTCAGGTGGCGAGAGGGTGAGAAGAGATGGTGGACTTAGAAGAGGAAGAAGAACAACTCTCTCTCTCTCTCTCTCTCTCTCTCTCTCTCTCTCTCTC